ATGAAGATACAGGTAACAAGGGAAAGCAGTTGGCTGGATGTCTACAATGCCCTGGATCCCAGAATCTGATTATGAGAGAAGCCTCCCACAGGATAGTGAAACATCCCAGCATTCCCTGGGCAACGTTCTTGTAGATGCTGAATTCTCTCACACCAGAAGCAACTTGCAGTTTTTCAAATCACTCCTGGTGTGAAAAAAACAATTCCTGGATGATCTTATCCCAGATTATCTGCAGTGGAGACTCAGGCCCCTTCCACACAGCTGAATAAAATCCCACATTATCTGCTTTGAACTGGGATATATGGCATTGTGGACTCAAATAACCCAGTTCAAAGCAGATATTGTGGGATTTTCTGCCTTGATATTGTGTGGAAGGGCTTTCATATAACACAGTTCAAAGCAGATCATTTGAGAACAGATCCTGGGATATAGGGCACTGTAGCTGCACAGTGAGAGCAACAGCCGTTCCTCTTTTTTTGAATTATCATGATGGGATATTGCTAGGTTTGGGTTGCTGTGAGTTTTTTGGGCTGCATGGAAATGTTTCTGTAGCATTCTCTACTGATGTTTTGTCTGCATCTATGAAATGTCAGGAGAGAGAGAATGCTACTGGAACATGGCCATACAGCCCGAAAAAACTCACAGCAATCCAGGGGCCTTCCACAGAGCCAAGCATGTAGCCAGCAGGGAGGCCTGAAGGGCTTCAGGGTGGTCCACGAGAAGGCCTTACTGGTACATTATTTAAACTGTTATGTTTATTCATATCATGACCTGATCACCATGCTCAATATATCCCATATGCATGGGGGTATTGGGGTAACGATACAAAAGGTTTGCTAGGGTAGATCCTCAGCCCCCTCCCCGAATCAAACTCAGCGCCCCCATTCAAATTCAGCCCCCCCCCATCAAAATCCTGGCTACGGACCTGCACACAGCCATATAACCTGGGGGCCCTTCCACACAGCCCTATATCCCATCATATCATAGAAGAAAATCCCACATTTTCTGCTTTGAATTGGAATATAGGACAGTGTGGACTCAAATAACCCAGTTCAAAGCAGATATTGTGGGGTTTTCTGCCTTGATATTCTGAGATATAGGGCTGTGTGGAAAGGCCCGCAGAATATCAAGGCAAAAAATCCCACAATATCTGCTTTGAACTGGGTTATTTGAGTCCACACTGCCATACATCCCAGTTCAAAACAGAAAATGTGGGATTTTTTTCCAGCTGTGTGGAAGGGGCCCCAGTAATTCCTGCAAGGAAAGCCTTAGACCACACATTGCTAGGTTTGTTTTTTAATTGCTCTTCTCAGGGCCCTTCCAGACAGCCATATAATCCAGAACATCAAGGCAGAAAATCCCACAATATCTGCTTTGAACTTGGTTATCTGAGGGCCCTTCCAGACAGCCATATAACCCAGAATATCAAGGCAGAAAATCCTACAATATCTGCTTTGAACTGGGTTATCTGAGGGCCCTTCCAGACAGCCATATAACCCAGAATATCAAGGCAGAAAATCCTACATCTGCTTTGAACTGGGTTATCTGAGGGCCCTTCCAGACAGCCATATAACCCAGAATATCAAGGCAGAAAATCCCACAATATCTGCTTTGAACTGGGTTATCTGAGGGCCCTTCCAGACAGCCATATAACCCAGAATATCAAGGCAGAAAATCCTACAATATCTGCTTGGAACTCAGTTATTTGAGTCCATACTGCCATATATCCCAGTTCAAAACAGAAAATGTGGGATTTTATTCAGCTGTATGGAAGGGGCCACAGTGATTCCTGCAAGGAAAGCCTTAGACCACACATTGCTATGTTTGTTTTTTAATTGCTCTTCTCAGGGCCCTTCCAGACAGCCAAATAACCCAGAATATCAAAGCAGAAAATCCCACAATATCTGCTTGGAATGGGTTATCTGAGGGCCCTTCCATAGCCATATAACCCGGAATATCAAGTCAGAAAATCCCACAATATCTGCTTGGAACTGGGTTATCTGAGGGCCCTTCCACACAGACATATAACCCAGAATATCAAGGCAGAAAATCCCACAATATCTGCTTTGAATTGGATTATGGGAGCCCACACGGCCATATATCCCAGTCCAAAACAGAAAATGTGGGATTTTATTCATCTGTGTGGAAGGACTCCCAGGCAATCAATGATGGCAGAGCTTTTCTATTTTGGGAGAAGGAGCTGTGGGTGCGTATGTGGTTATTCCACCCTTCCCGGCATTTCCACAAAGACACACTTTGGAGGAATAGAATAAAGTTTGTGCTTTCCCCCCTGTCCTTCCCCCCCCCCCCCCCCCCCCTCTCTCTCTTTCATCAGCCTGGGCATCCATTTCCATGGCAAAAAAGTCATTTGCAAACTCCATCAGCGAAATTAAGACGAAGCGGTGCATTAAGGGGAGCTCCTAAATGGCACCGAAATTGGGAAAGGTGGGGAGAGAAAGAGAAGGAGGGAAGCAGCATAGCACAGGCCCGTAGCCAGGATTCCGTTTGGGGGGGGGGGCTGATTTTCAGGGGGGTTTCGGGGGGGGGCTGAGTCTGAGTGAAAGAGGGTCTAGCCTAGCAAACCTTTTGTATCACTACCCCAATACCCCCATGCATATGGGATATATTGAGTATGGTGATCAGATCATGATATGAATAAACATAACAGTTTAAATAATGCACCAGTAAGGCCTTATCGCGAACCACCATGAGAATTTCGGGGGGGGGGGGATGAAGCCCCTCAAGCCCCCCCCCCCCCCCCGCTACATGCCTGGAGGGAAGGATCGGGAGGGAGGGAGCAGGTGGACTAGAAATGGGCTGGCTCACCTTTCGCATCCCTACAGACCCTTCCAGCCAAAGCGGAGAGGAAAGGAAGGAGGGAAGAGGAGAAGAGATTCCGAGGGAGGGGAAGGGAAGCTTGCCTCCCCAATTTTCGGGAACCCAGAGGGCGTTTAAGGGCAAAGCAACCCCTCCTTGCGCCTCTTGGGTCCGGAGAAAGGACGGAAAGTTCCCCATTGCTGTCACCGACTCATCAAAGAGCCCCCCCCCTCTTTGCAAGAGAGTGATCCCTGGCCATTGGCCAAGCGCCCCTCACGTGGGATCGCCTTTCACCCGCCCCGCTTCCTCCAACAACCCCCTCCCTGGCTTCACCCCACTCTCACCCCTTCTTTCTCCTCCTCCTTGGAAAGTGTCTCTTTGGGGGTGGGAAAGAGGGGGCTCCCAATGGTCGGTGTGTGGCGGTGGGGAGGGCAGGGAAGGCAGCCGCCCCTTCTATATGGGGCAAGGAGGAAGGCTTCCCAAGAGCCTTGGGTGGGGAGATCTCCAAGCCAGGCCGCTTCCCTTTCCCATGTGGGCCCCCCGCCCCAGATGAGGCCGCCGGGAGTGCTCCCCACGAGGAATAAGGACCCACCTCGGGACGGGGAGGCGGCAGCAGCTTCTTCTTCCTCTTCTACCTCATCCTCCTCTTCCTCCTCCTGCTTTGGGCTTGCCTGGACGTCCCCTCGGGGTGCAGGGAGCAGCCTCTTCCTGGAGCCGTGGGGGCAGCGAGGGAGCCCCGCGACGGAGCTTGGCGGGACGGAGGAAACTTTTGAGTGGATGAAAGTGAGAAGGAACCCGCCCCGAAGCGCAGGTAAGGCGCGCCCGCCCGGAGAGATGTGATTGGACGAGGACACGGCGCGCGCGCTCCTTGGCTCCCTTCCCCGCACAAGAGCCAGGTAGCGCGAGCCGGAAGGATGGGAGGAGAGCGGCCTCCTCATCGCCTTCCAAAATGCAACCACATCACCCAGAATATCAACGCAGATAATCCACAGTGACCGCTTTGGACTGGATTATCTGAGTCCACACTGCCCTATAATCCACTTCAATGCGGATTTTAGACAGCTGTGTGGAAGGGGCCTGGGAAAAGCGGGGACAGAAGGGAAAGCGACAGAAGGGAAGGGGAATCGATCCCCAAATGTAAATGCTCAATGTGTATCTCTCCCAACTGCTTGCGGATTCTGACTATGAGTACGCTCTTAGCGTTAGGCAAGTCCGGTCGAGGCAACGTCATCAGCTTTGGACCACAAAGCATTTTCGGAGAGTTTTCAGCTTCTTCCTGATTGGACACAAATTCAGTCGGGAAGAAGCTGAAACTTCCTGGAAGCCCTGAAAAATGCTTTTGGGGTGCAAACTTGAGTCGGGAAGAAGCTGAAACTTCTTGAAAGTCATTGAAAAATAATAATTAATGATAAATATTAAGTTAAAATATTAACTTAATATTAAAATAAATTATTATTATTATTATTATTATTATTATTATTATTATTATTATTAACAACAGCCAGAAGAATGATCTTGTTTGCTAGGTACTCATCTTGTTGTGTTTCAAATATTAAATAAAAATATTAAATTAATATTAAAAATAAATAAAATAATAATGAAATAATAAAACACTTGGGAAGTGTCCGACTTGTGATCCAAAACAACAGCCAGAAGGGTGATCTTGTTTGCTATGTACTCCTCTTGTTGTGTTTCAAATATTACATTAAAATATTAACTTAATATTAAAATAAATAAAATAATAAAACACTTGGGAAGTGTCCGACTTGTGATCCAAAACAACATCCAGAAGGGTGATCTTGTTTGCTAGGTACTCATCTCGTTGTGTTTCAAATATTAATAATTAATATTAATAATATTAATATTTTCGTGTCAGGAGGACTTGAGCAACTTCAAGTGGCCTCTGGTGTGAGAGAATTGGCCGTCTGCAAGGACGTTACCCAGGAGATGCCTAGATGCTTGATGTTTTACCATCCTTATATAATAATAATAATAATAATAATAATAATAATAATAATAATAATATACTGCACACAGTCCTAGACGCTTGGGATGTGTTCGACTTGTGATTTTGTGATATGAAATCCAGGATATAGATCTCATTTGCTGTGACATACTGCGGTTTTGTGTCAGTAAAATAATAATATATTGTATTTACTGTATAGCCCGAAAAAACCTACAACAACCCAATAATAGACTGTCTTTATAACCTGTCCTATTTCCCCGGAGGGAATTCAGGGCGGAAAATCCTTTTGGATTCAAACTTAAGCCAGGAAGAAACTGAAACCTCTTTAAAGTTGTTGGGTTCAAATCTGACCGAAGCTAGATCGACACTGCCGTATAAATGCAGTTTGAACTGAGTGTATATAATGTAGTTGGCATTTTATGCTCAGGGCAGAGTCATATAACTTGTGAGAGTCGACACTCACCATATAAGGTAGTTTCAAACTGCATTATATGGCAGTGTGGATGGGTTCTGAGGTCCCCAAATAACAGCCTTAGGAGAAGGAAAGGCTGCCATCGTCACAAGAGGGCGGGAAAGTTTTCCCAAACTCCCCACCGGATCCTTTGGCAAATAGACTTGTGTCCAGCCTCTCTCCAGCTCTTACTCTAGAAATATATTCCCGGAAATCAGAGTGACTTAATTCCAATTCCACACAAACATACCATTTTAAAAAAAATACTACATCATTTCCCTACAGATCCCACAGAACAAAACCTCTTTCTTTTCCCACCGAAAGGTATTTTCTTCCTTTCCTCTCCACCTAGGAAACGTCTTCTGGGCGATTACAAAATAAACCAATTCAAAAGGCTAATTAGCAGATAGCATTTACCACTTTGAACCATCGAAAAAAACCCCCAGCATTATTTTTCTTCATTTTCTTTCTTTTTCTTATTTTTCTTTTTTCCTTCCTTCCTTCCTTCTTTCCGTCTTTTTCTCTTCCTTCCTTCCCTTCTTTCTTTCTTTCCTTCCTTTCTTCTTTTCTTCCTTATTTTTCCTTCTTCCCTTCTTTCTTTCCTTCCCTCCTTCCTTCTTCCTTTTCTTTTTCCTTCCTTCCTTCTTTTTCTTTCCCCCCTTCTCTTTCCTTCCTACCTTCTTTCCTTCTTTCTTTTTCTTTTTTCCTTCCCCCTTTTTTCTTTTTTCACTTTCCTTCCTTTTTCCTTCCCTCCTTCCCCTCCTTTCTCTTTCTTTCTTACTTCTTTCCTTCTTTCTTTTTTCCCTTCCTTTCTTCTTTCCTTCTTTTTCTCTTTCTTCTTTCCTTCCTTCCTTTCTTCTTCTTTTCTTCCTTCCTTCGTTACTTCGTTCCTTATTTTTCCCTTCTTCCTTCCTTTCTTTCTTTTTTTTTTTCATTTCTTCCTTCTCTTTCCTTCCTATCTTCTTTCCTTCTTTTTCTTTTTGTCCTTCCCTCCTTTTTTCATTTTCCTTCCTTTTTTCTTTCCTTCCCTCCTTTCCCCTTCTTCCTTTTTTCTTTTTATTTCCTTCCTTCTTTCTTTTCCCCCCTTCCTTCCTTCTTTCCTGCCTTCCTTTCTTTGGCCCTTCCTCCCTTCTTTCTCTCCCCCCCCTTCTTTCTTTCTTTTTCTTTATTCCWGCCTTCTTTCTTTGTCTTTTTACCTTCCATCCATCCTTCCTTCCTTCCTTCCTTCCCTTCTCTTCCTATTCTTTCCTTTTTCYGAAATAGTCTGAAAATACAATTCCTTGGTGAAGTTTAATTTTTTTGTGACATTAATATAGCAGTGTTTTGTTTGTTTGTTTTTCTGGCCAGAAAATGTAACTAACGTTGAGACAATTTTCAAGTTCACCCCTGAAGTTTTTTTTTATTTTAGAAAAATTCTTTATTTTTTTAAAAAAATTACCAATTTTTAATTATATTATTATAATAAATTATTATAATAAAATATTATGAATACTGTATAAAATTATTCTCAGGCAAAATGCATAAGGTGCAGGTGGCAAATTAATGAATGAATAAATAAATATAGTAAATAGTAAATAAATGAATGTTTTTAGACTTGGATCCATCTCCAAGATATCCCACGATTATTAAATCATTCACCAAACCCTTCTGGTCTCAAGCAGGAATCGTTTCCACGTTTCTGGAACCAGTGCGGCGGTGTTACATAAGGGTCAAGTTACAGCGGAATCTTTGGGGCGGCTGCTTGTTTCTTGACACGCTTCATTTTTTGAATGCAATGCGGATTACGCGAGAGTTCTCGTAGTTTCTCCGGGCCGTATGGCCATGGTCCAGAAGCATTCTCTCCTGACGTTTCTCCTCCATCTATGGCAGGCATCCTCAGAGGTTGTGAGGTCTGATGGAAAGTAGGAAAATTGGGTTTATATATCTGTGGAAAGTCCAGGGTGGGAGAAAGAACGATTTCACTGTTTACTTGCTGGAAACGGGAAGGAGAGGCCCCAATGGTTTTGTGTTGTCAGAACTTGTGAGCTGTGGAGTTTCCTAAAGCTGTCACTCTTTTAAAAGAAAATATTTGATGTGTATTTTTAAAACAAAACCACCCTCCTCTTTTTTTTTAAAAAAAGTTCCAAATTATGAGTCTATTTGTATACTATTTGCCCTCTTTTTAAACAGCCACAACTGGGTTGTTGTGAGTTTTCCGGGCTGTATGGCCATGTTCCAGAAGCATTCTCTCCTGACGTTTCACCTGCATCTATGGCAGGCATCCTTAGAGGTTGTGAGGTCTGAGGATGCCTGCCATTAGATGTAGGCGAAACGTCAGGAGAAAGTGCTTCATGGCTATACAGCACTGAAAACTCACAACAGCCCAGTGATTCCGGCCATGAAAACCTTGGACAACAACAACAACCTTTTTCTTCTGTGAATTGTTGTGATCACTTCTTTGTAATAATAATAATAATAATAATAATAATAATAATAATAATAATAATAATATAATAAACTGAAAGCTACATCTATGGCAGGCATCCTTAGAAGTTGTAAGGTCTGAGGATGCCTGCCATTATATGTAGGCGAAACGCCAGGAGAAAGTGCTTCATGGCCATACAGCCCGGAAAACTCACAACAACCCAGTGATTCCGGCCATGAAAACCTTTGACAACAACA